GAAAGAGTTTCTTACATGAAAGCATTTAAAATTAATTCACATTTTCAGCTGAAAATCTTTCAGAGTATCTGTAGAAATATTTCATAGTCTAAATCCTATTATCCATATAATCGTCTCCTTAGAACTTCACCTTTGCCTACAACCAGTTATCTGTTATTTCTACATTTTTTTTCTAATTGGGTGCTAAAAGTTATCGTGCTCTAGAGCTGTTGTACCTTACATCTCTCTAACTTCATGCTTTGCTCTAGGACAAGTGAAAGGAAATAGCAGAACGTTGATTGCAGCAGAGGCTTTGTTAATATTTCCATGTATTAAGAATTGTAATGTTCTGTGATGCTACAGAAGGGTTGCAAAATGTCTAACTACTGACCTGTGGTTAACAGTGCAGTTTAGAAGGTTTTGTTTATCTGTGCATTGCAATAAATCATCATATTCCCATAATGTTGTGTTAATAGTATGTCTAAAGGCATTTCTAGACAAGTTCAGTATTTATCAAGAAAGCATAAGTTCATGCAGAGCATGAGTGAGTTAGAGAACCTCACTTCCACCTTGATGCATGTATGCTAGATCAGGGACTGGAATTAGAAGGAACGTAAATTTCCAGCAGTTTACCGTGGAAATTTTATGTCAGAAAAGATAACAAAAAGGCAGCTGTACAGCTGTGCTCAAAAGGATGTTTTCTCAGCTCTCAATTAGGAAAAAGTATTGTTTCAGGGCAATCATGTGCCCTGCTCCAAGGTTTCTAAATTCCCTACTCTCCAGAAGAGACCATCATTAAAATGATTTATGACTAACTTCACCTTTTATTGCGAATTTTGTGGTGTGCCTCTTGGGCGTGTGACAGAGTCTTACACTGTGTGATGGAGAGCCTACTAAAAATGAAAAATAACTCAACTTTCCAAGGTACAAATGGTGAGCAGTTTAAGAAGTGGAAGAAACATCAATTTCCGAATCCTGGATGTGGACTGGTGCACGTCGGACAAAGTGGTCTTGGCATCAGATGATGGGTGCATTAGAGTTCTAGACTTGTCCATGAAACCATCGTGCTTTAGAATGGATGAACAAGACTTAATAGGTATGTTGATTTATTTTTGCTATTGGCTGCTAGATACTCCATTTTGAAAGTGGACCATAAAAATGTCCAGCGCTTCTGTTAGAACAGAGAATTGTCATATGTAGAGGATTAGGCGTCCCTAGAGTGGTTTTCATAGATGCAGAAAAATTTTTCAGGCTTCAGGCATATGCATGCTTTTTTCATAGAGGTTTAATCTAAATAAACTTACATTTTAATAGCTTGATTGGAATATAGATTAACAAAATAAGAGCTTTTTGTACAGATGTCTAGCAAGTTGACCTAAAAATCATCGGTACATCAATTGGGTATCAGTACCCACATCACTGCTATTCATTACATAATTTTGAAACATTTGTTAATGTGTGAAAAATGTCTTTTCTGGTATTTCCAGATATCAAAGGCAGTTTATAGACTGATTCATTGCTTTTCAAAGTAGATTTTCCCAGTGAACTCTAAAATAGCAATATTAGAGCTGTTTGACTTTTTTTGCCATATAAGAAGGTAATTTAAATACTTAATGGTTTAAATAGTTAACTAAGCTACATTTTTCTATTTTTTATTACTGATGTTCCAATTAACTGCTTTTGGTTTGGTCTTTTTGGTCAATCCTGCCTTTACTTACACAACTTCCTTTAAACGTGGATTCTGACTAAGGCATATGTAATAAACAAAATTGTGATGTGGGGAGCTGTGGTGTGGGATGTTTGCGGAAACCCATAATTTATCACAGCTATTTATACTATCGAATGAATGTTCTGTAATATTAAGCTATAAAAGTTAACGTTCTAAAACCAAGCACACTGAAATTAGGGTACACCAGGGTTAAGGTTGCCTGTGATTTAGCTGTCCTTCTGCCTCTACGCTGTGATAACCTTTTGATTACAAAATCACATTTACAAGGTTCCTACATCATTCAGTGCATATGAAGTATGGGGAATTGCTGAATATTGAATAAGGTAGCTGGTTGGTACTTATTTTACTCCTAAGTCACTGGGTAGCATTTACTGCGTATCATCCAAACCTTGTACTGAATACAGATTTACTGACTCTTAAATTTGTATGACAAGAGATAGTGCTATAATTTTCATCTTATTTCTTTGCTAATATAGACATGTATTAAACTTTACAACAGCCTTTTGGGATGATGGTTATTAATCCTTGTATTATACTGTAGAAACTACGATTGCAAAGTAAAACTAAAACATACATTATGGTACATTTTGGTATAGCTGTACTTACTTTCCAGCATGTCCTTGTAGTAGCAATAATCATCATGTACAGCTCTACTTAGTGCCAGTATAATGTATTACAGGAGTCTATGGCTAAATTCAATATGGAATGTCCCGAAGTTCTCATTTGAGCATGGTTGATAACGCTGTACCTTCTATGAAACATTTTTGCTTGAGTATAAAGATAAGCTTTTATGTCTAGTAATGCATGCTGTGTATATGAAAAGCCTGTGATTTATGATTTTCTTCTGGTGCTTGCAAACAAGGTGGTACATTTTATGGTTACTGAACACAGTGTTTATTGCACATTAGCCACTGAACAATGAATCTTTTCCTTTTGTTTCAGAACCTGCATGGTGTCCCTATCTGCTTGTTCCAAGGGCTTCATTGGCTTTAAAAGCGTTCTTGTTGCACCAGCCGTGGAATGAGAAATATGCTCTAGATATTATAAACATGTAAGGAGAAATATATATAATTTATTATTATTATTTTAAATTCTACATATTTTGTTAGTTTTTCTGTGCAAATAACTGTTAGACATATAATTTTCCTCATTTTGGGACCGTAAAAAAGATAATAGCTTCACTATTTATTACTAAAAGTAATAAATAGAAAAGGCTTTAAGGTCAAGTATTTTGTTTCTTTCTTTTCTTTTGTTTTTTGTAACTTTCAGTAGCCCTTGGCTATTGAAAACTGCTGTCTATGTTAAAATACTGGCAATATTTTGATGTCATTTACAGGTTATATTACTTCAGAGGACAACTGTGTGTTCTCTTTGTTCAAGAAGTTAATGTAAATAGTCAGAGTGGGTTCCTGAAGTGTAATTGAAAGTGATATTCTAACTGATAGTCTAACAGGCATATTTTTACTTTTAGTGAGCCATACTTCACATCACAGTAGGAGCACCTTTCTGTATCCTTTATTGTGTTTGTGTACTGTTGGTGGTCACATAATAATGGGCTAGGCATTGTCATTTTTATTACTTTCAAGGTTAATGAATAAAAGAAAAGTGGGAAAAGAAAGATTGGCGCCACTCACTCTGAGGTTGAGAGAAAGCAAACTAGTAACTAGACAAAGAATCCTGCATGAATGGCTTACCATAAGAATATGAAAGACTGTTTCCATATATGTTCTTGTGTTTTTCTACTACCAGTAATACCCTTCCATTTCAGATAATTCTGTCATTTTGGTGATATAGTAAACCTTTTTCTTTTTCTTTTTTTTTTTCTTTTTTTATCCAGTGATTATCCAGAGAATGAAAATATTAAAAACCTTCTTCAAGAGCAGTTGAATTCATTGTCCAAGTAAGAATTTTTCTATTAAATATTTGAGTAAACTAGTGAATTCAGAGAAGGCAAAAAACCAGACATTTGTGGCAATTCACAACTTAATGAAGAAAGAATGCTTTTTACCTCTCTAAAGATAAGCTTGAGTAATCACAGCTTTTATTTTAAACAGTTAATTTGTTTTATGTAACTCCTGAAGGTGGTGCTTTATTCATTTTATTGACGATTTAAAATTTTTTTCTATTTTTTCTAATTAGAAATAAACCATAATAAAATCTCAAAAATATTTTTTAAATAAACTATCTCAGAGTAGTTTGTTAAATATTAACTCAACAGTCAAAATATACTGTTCTGAATATATAAAGTGTGATGGAAGACAATATTGAATTTTTAACATTGACTTATCATGTAGTGGCTGACAGCAAGAGTTTTAAAGATACTGATTAGGGTTAGTGTATAATTTATAATTGACCAGTGAGCATTCATAATTTTTTAGGCAATACCTTTTGGTAATGTTGGTTCAGACTCTATTGGATACTGCTACTTAAATACTTCAGTGTTTGTTTAAGATACATAAGCTCTGAGGAAGAAAAGACAAACAATTCTAAAAATCTTTTATTGAAGAAATACTTCCAGAGTAATATTCATGCACAATGCTCTGCTGACACAGAAAACAAATTTTGACATTCCATTTAAACTATGAAAATAATATTTGAAGCTAGTAAACAGAAGTTCTTCCCTTTTCCTTTTGTTCTCTCACTTAGTAGGATGGAAAAGATAGCGTATTTTTATCCAGTCTGAAACATACATAGAAAACCTGAATTCATGCATGTCGATCTCTTATGCTATGGCACTACATAGTTGCAAAATTATTCATAATTAAATTAATCTTGTAACTTGTAGAATCACTGCAGACTAATTTACAGCTTTGTATACACCCTTGTGGTTGGTCCCTTTATTACAAGAATAAGGGATTCCTGATGGACTCACTACTTGTATTTAAACTGGTAGAGTGACTTGCTCCTTGAGATCAAGTATATTTCAAATTATATGTACTTCCTGTTGTAATTGTTTTGATAGATACTTTTTTTTTCAGTTCAGAAGAGAAATTGTGTATTTTTTGTTTTGATGTTTTTCAATTTGTAGATGCTATATCCTATTTGTGTTCAAAAACAAGCAAACAAAAAACCTTGCACAGCATTTTACAGCTAATTTATGGCTTGCTTTCTTTGCAGTGACATAAAGAAACTTTTGCTTGATCCAGATTTTACTCTGTTGCAAAGATGTCTCCTAGTTGCCAGGTAGTAGAGATTCAGATAACCATATCAAATGTTTCCTAATAAAATCTTGATCCTATTAATGCATATGAATGTGCTGAGGTTGAAGTATTCAACTAATTCTCCTTTAACTCAGTGCAATTCCTAAAGTACTTTGTTACCCAGGTATTAGAGTGTTTTCAGGACTGGGAATGGAAATGTTACCTTACTGAAACAGTTTTTTTTGCTTGCGGATGTAGAGACCTTCCTTCAGTCTTGGTGGTACTTTCATAAATGCAGTTCTGCTAACTACATTGCATTTACTTGTACAATGGCCAAAAAATGTAATTCAGAACTTCGCAACACACAATAGATCATATGCAAACGGGGGAAGGCCTGTTTTTTATTTCAAATATATTTCTTCTGTGTTGTTCTTCTACCTAAACTGTAGCTAATTTTAGACTGTCTATATTCAGAGATGTTTTTCAAACTTAGTAACTTGGTTGTAGTTGAAAGAGTATATTAATGATTAAGTGTAAAATAATAATAAAATACCAATTTCCACATATTTATATGCTGAACCTTCATGGAGTTTAATTGCTATTGTAACAGTCGTCTGGCTAACCTCTTGTCTAGCTTGCTGAATGTCATTCCTTAATCTTTTCTTGTAGTTTGTCCCATTCATAATGTGAAATACTTGTGGTGCCCATAATAATGCATGGTCTTTGTAAAAAGATATTTTAAATGTGTAATATTTTTATGTGACATATGAAAAAATACAAACGTATTTCACATCCTGATTTGCATTTTCTCAGACTGTATGGGGATGAATCTGAACTGCATTTCTGGACTATTGCTGCCCACTATTTGCACAGCTTATCCCAGCAAAAGCCTGCAAAACCAACAGACACAGCTATCCTTCAAGAACAGTTGGTTAATCCATTGGATATATGCTATGACATACTGTGTGAAAATTATTACTTCCAGGTATTTCAAAGAGTTCAAAAATATATTTAATAACAGATCAGAACATTAAAAGCTCAGCATTATAACCTTCTTTTTACCTTAGAGCTTTTTACCATACATATTTAACTTTTACTAGTAACATACATCTCTGGATTAAATGACTCCCTATGATTTCAGAAATAGGGAGATTTTTGGAACTCCCAAAATACTTCCATATTTTTTGTTTCTTATAGTAGTCTTATGTTTACAATATTTTTTCTTCTTCATGCAGAAATTCCAGCTTGAAAGGGTAAATCTCCAGGAGGTGAAGAGATCAACATATGATCATACCAGGAAATGTGCTGATCAGCTGCTTCTCTTGGGCCAGGTTTGTGGGTAATATTTTAATTTTTTGTTCTTCTTCCTTGTCCATTCTATGTACTTATCCTATTCAGTTAAAGGTTTGTCTAACTCACATGTGTTGCTTCATACCTTTATTCACCCCATGGATAGTTTTTGCTGTCTTGATATGTTACTACACTGCAGACTCAGTGTAATGACACGGTATATGGTAATGTTTGGTATTATCTGATTCAGAATGTATCATTTTTCTGGGAACCCTATAAAAATCTTTCTTTCCATATGGTGACTTAGAAAAGAAAAATTACATTTTGAGTTTTCCAGAAATATCTTAAAAACAACATCTTTAGGATAACTCAGTCTGCAATTAGTACTCGTTTTAGGTAACAAAGGACATGTCTAAGCTTTTGGCAGATCCGTACTGAGCAATGAAACATTGTACAGAGCTGCTCACTGATAAGAATATTGTTGCATTTGTACAGTATATATCATGAGCTGTTCCCTACTAATGCAGTTGTGCTGCATCCATTTCCAAAAATAACTTTGGTGTTACTAGCTCAAACTTAAATGATGTCTATGCCAGTGTGCGTTTGAGCATGTCAACAAATGTTACCAGTAAAAGATGCCAGAAATATTTAGTCTGTTGACAGTCTGTTTAAAATGCCAGTTTGTAGAAGTTTAAAAGTACCAGTTTATTGAATCGCTGTATTTTAATATGTATTTAATGTGGCTTTTCATTATTTCTGTAATTACCTAAGCCATCAGCTTGACTGACCTCTCCAAATTAACCTCTGTAAAAGTTAGGCATATCATTTTAATAACAGGCAGAGATGACATGCCTGCAGTAATTCATTGAATTTGGAGAGAGGTGTCCGCAGCCAGTGTAATGAGCCCCACTAGTTAGGTGCTCAGCTGTGGCTAACCTTTTAAATGGATGAATTCTACCTTTGTTTTAAAATATCAGGTATTTAATCAGTCCTTGAGATCCTGGCCAGTTTCTGCATTTTATTTCTTCTCTGCTTATTTTAAATGCTTCTCTTCTTTTATAACTCTGCAAAAGACTATGTAAACAAGGAAATACGTGTCCTGAATTAAACTTTTCTTTGGCTTCTAGAAACTTTAGGCTGTGATTAAACGTTATATTCATGATGGATGTTTAAATGCTATCCTTACTACAGGTATTTTACTGAAATAGAACCTTAATTATTACTATGCTGGTAGATATTTTTGTAGTCTATTTTAGAATAACTTCATTGTTATTTGTTCCATGTCTTAAAAAGAGTAAAAAATGTAAAGACTTTTGTTTAAAAGTGAATACGTTGTGATAAAATTTGTATTTTTCACTCTTGCCAGACTGACAGAGCAGTGCAACTATTGTTAGAAACAAGTTCAGAGAATGCACGTTATTACTGCGATTCACTCAAAGCTTGCTTGGTCACAACTGTCACCTCATCAGGTCCATCTCAAAGTACCATTAAACTGGTAGCAACCAACATGATAGCCAATGGAAAGCTCGCAGGTAAAACATGATTTAATTTTATGTTTGCTTGTTAGCTAGTAATTGTGATCTTATTAAGGCTGCTGATGGAGATGGGAGAGCAGAAAATTGTAGTAGATCTTATATGTTGCATATGTTATAGTATGCACTGTCTACAGTAGATAACAAAGATGATCAGTAACTCAGTTATAAAGCTCAACTTGTTTTGATTCCTTTTCATTGGAAAACATATTTCTGGAGTAATTCTCTTAGCAATTGTTTGTACTAAAAGAGGCTGAGCACATAAAGCTATGCATTTTCCACTTTCCTAATTAAAGCGTTAATAAAAAAATGGTTTCTTATTACTGAAGTTGAAATACAGACTTAGTTTCCTTTCCAGTTCAGAGCTTATTTCAAAAAGTGTATTTTCTTATATGTACATGTTAATTTTGCTTAATGCAGGAGATGTTCACAAGATGATGATTGACTGAAATATTCAAAAGACATGCAGAGAAAGTACAAATGTCTGTACTTGCCTGGAAAAAATACTTTCCACTCTGTGGACAATTAACACTTCACTGTTAATAATTACACTATGGACAACGTTAAATTAAAATAAAGGATTATTTATGAAATCTGTGTATTTGACTTACAAAGATCATTATCTCTTTACGATGAGAAGTCCAGTGAACTCCTTGTCATTTGTATTTAGGGCAAAGAAAGATGAGAGCTTTGTGAGGTCCGTCTAAGCACTATAGCCCAGGGAGTAGATATGATAACTGACACCCAGGTATTATGGAGCCAGGTGGTAGAAGGGTTTTTCAACATCTTCATATGCTAAGAAGGATATAAGAGAGATCCTTTTTCTGGGGATGAATGATCTTCTCACACTTACATAGCACCTCTTTTTTCCCTTAACTTATTATATAGTGTGCTTTTTATTTTCCAGAGGGTGTACAGTTACTGTGTCTGATCGATAAGGCTGCTGATGCCTGTCGTTACTTGCAAACTTACGGCGAATGGAATCGTGCAGCATGGCTTGCAAAGGTAGGTAATTTGTCAGTTTTCAGTTTGCCAACATAACTGACCTACTTAGTGTATGTAGGTATGAAGGGTGATGAGGGTGCTAAAGTTCTCTAAAGTTAAAAAACTGAAACACCAATTTGAAATACCATTATCAGTTCTTTCCATGTGTTAAGCTAGAACAAGCCAGTTCACGCAATCAGTGTTGACAGGTTCTTCTTCAGCCTTTTGACTGCAAAGGTCTGCCCTGGTCATCCAAATGACAGGACTGGGGCCTAAAAATGGTTAAAATACTCAAGTCTCTATTTTTTGAGCAGTGATTTGTGAAGTTGCATATAGCTGCAGCAGTACAGAGTTCATAATAAACTAGAAAAAAACACTCCTGGAAGTGGTAAGTATTTGGGTGATTGAGTGACTTTGTGCTAAGCTCTATGTAGCTTGTGTGCTGATTTTAAAGTTAGCACCAACCACATAAATTTGCATCAACTTGTGTTTTGGTATGCAGACATTATTACAGTAAAAGTACCTAGACACAGCATTAATTCTCCATATTATAATGGACAGGAGTCAGTAAGGATGATCTTTCAGTGTCTCCAAGAAAAGTTGCTGTTATGTTTCCTGCAGAAAGTATGAGAAAAGTCATACTCGGATTTGCTAAATGGATGAATCCCACTCTTAAGGAAAATAAAGGTGTTTTGTCCTTAAGTTTTCAGCAAAGGATAAAGATTTCTAACTGCTTGATACTTGAGGTTTTAGTAAAGCCTTGTGGAAAAATAATGTTAATCACATGTAACTGTGGAGTGACCAGAGTGGGTTTTTTTTATATATCTATGTATTTCTTCTTTCTCTTTATATTGTATTCGATCAAGGTATTAGTGTACTTTTTATAATAAAGTTGGTAATTTCAGATGCTTTTACTTCTGTCCAAAGTTTCTCACTGAAAAAACTGAAGCACAATGCTCTCTTTAGTGATCAGCTGAGAATTCACAACTGGCTTTCCCATCTCTTAAAGGTTCGTTTGAACTCAGAGGAGTGTGCTGATGTGTTAAAGCGTTGGGTCGATCACCTCTGCTCTCCACAAGTCAACCAGAAGTCCAAAGCCATTCTTGTCCTCTTGTCACTTGGATGCTTTACAAAAGTTGCGGAGATGTTGCACAGGTAAAGCTGAAACAACACAATCTGTATTCTGCCTTGTCCGAAACTTGTTATTTAAGCATTTGTGACTTAGAAGTCAAGGAGGTGTGCAGTTTAATTTCTGACATTTGTTTCTATTTTGGCATGTTTTTCTTTTAACTTTAACCTCAGCAGTGTGTCATTTCTTTGTGCTGGAACTGATGATTTTGTTGCAATTTCAGGAAATATACTGGCACTTAAGTTTACTGCAGGCTTTAAGATTGCTAGCACCCATTGACCAAGTAGTAACAATTCATAGTAACTATGATTATTTCTGAGTAAGTTAAGCCTTGATCTTTCAAAAACTTTTCATCAAATGTCAGTTCTTTGAGTGCAAGGAAGAAGGGGGGATGTAAGAAGCCTGGGGAGAGGGCAGTGCCAGGCTAACGGGTGCGAGAGGGGTCCGAGGCAGTATGTGGGAGCAGTGTGACCTGTTCCTACGTACTGCCTGGGAGCAGGGTCGCAGCATTCGCTGCCATGTGGAAAGCACTCAGTGCCGTCATGATGTAGTGAACGCTCGAGGCCTACGAAGCGTGAAGGCGCAGAGAGCAAGGTAGAGCAACATTGGAAACCGAGAGCAGTGTGTGATGTGAGAGCGTGATTATGTGCCATAGTGGCAGCTAAACGGTGACGCTGTTTAACCTTGGCGATGTTCGGAAGCCTTGTTCAGCCCTCAGTGCAGAAGAGATTTGCCACTCCAGACCTAGCTACAAAACTTTAGAAAGTGTTTTGATCAAGTGTTTTGATGCAATGTCCTGGAATACTTTTCTGTTTTCCTGTCCTAACAAATTATTCTCTCTTCTTTTTTTTTGTTGTTTTTTTGGTTTTTTTGTTTTTCTTTCCCCCCATTTAACAGTATGAGGTACTTCGATAGAGCGGCTTTATTTGTTGAAGCTTGTCTGAAGTATGGGGCATTTGAAGTTAATGATGATACAAATATCCTTTTTCTGAAATCCTGTTTTTGCACCTGTGTACTCACACACAGTGAGTATGTGTGAGCCGATGTTAGATGAACTAGTCTACGCAGGAATAGGGGTTCCTATTTATATTTTCCAGGTTGTGTAGTTTGAAGGAAGTATGAGAAAATGAGTGAAAAGGAGTCATTTGCATAAATCTGTAACATTGCCTCTTCCTGATGATCTGTGAGGCCAGTGGAACTGGAAGACAAACTAAAAGTGAAAAAAATAAACATAGGAGAGAAAAGAACAGATGATAAAATGTTCTTTGCAGAACTTTGAAATTATTACTGCAGACTGTGTAGTGAAAGCACTGGTTCAGTTATCTTTTAAATACTGTATCTAAGGGGAAAAAACCCTGCATTGAACCCCTCTATATACTCGCACGCTGTTTTAGTGATTGACATCTTTAGATGAAACAGTCAGTTTTGAGACTGTGAAAACAAAGAAAATGAAAGGTCAAGATCAGATGAGGCGAAAATGTAGTAAATATTTTAAAAGGTATCTAAAGTATTGGTCAGCACAGTCTGCACATCTAACCTGGTGTTCTGGAAACTCGGAACAGTTGCTCTAACTTTTGTATTATACGCAATAAATAATAATACATATGTAAACAAGACCTGGTTGTGTTTTATGGAGTCATCACAGATGTCAGCTTGTAAATTAAAAAAGCCACTGCTAAGTCATGTGGATAACTCCAGTTCTAATTAACGAACAAATCTTGTAGTATGACCTTAGAATTTCTTAATTTCTTTTGCAAGTTATGACATGGTATTATGGTAGGTACTTATGTGTATCTGAAATGTATCTGTTTTAGTTTATAGCACTTTGCATATTGCCTGATAAATGCTAATATGCATTCAACAGTAGAATTTAAAGCAACTTTTTTGTCTGTCTTTGTGCTGAAAAATACTGGATTAGCACAACTGGCAGCAATGTTCAGCATTTTCAGCTTGGGAGAGCTAAGGAGTGAGGAGAAAGAAAAAAAGATTCTGAGTTTTTTCATTTTGCTATTCATTTGTGTTTTCCTTAATGCTTCGTTTACATAAATTGATCCATGCTGTATATGCAGATTATGCCAGAAGCTTGAAGCTCCTGGGCTTTAAACAGGGAGCTATTCTCTTTGCCTCAAAAGCGGGAGAAACTGGTAAAGAGTTACTGATGGAGCTCAAACAGTCTAAAGAGGAAGTGACACAAGAGTAAAAACTTTATGAGGAGATTTGGGTTGTCTATCAGACTGACATTCCACTGTGTGAAAATACATTTTTCTCTTGAATCACTGTAATAGCTGATACGTGTGATTTGAGCAAATATTGTTAAATGTGTATGGAGGCAAGATTAAGAACTGTTTTATGTTTATTCTTATGTTAAAATAGTCTTCACTTTCACAAGAGGGGAAAGAAGCCTATGATAAGATTTTACAAGAGTATTTCCAACTTTTTCAACTGTAGCAGAAATCAAATTTTAAAATGTGCTGAAAGAGTTCTATAGCTGTGTAAAAGTCTACTCCATTTACTTCTAAAAATCAAATCTTTATAGTTCTTCGCTACTGTTATATTTATATGTATAAATGATTCAGTCTGTACTATAAAAATATAAATATATTTAAAGAATAAATATAGATCGCAAAACACTTTTTTTTCCAGGAACATCGTGTTTTCTCAATCCAATTTTTCCATTTAATATTACTGTTATTTTAAATCTGTTACTGTATTGTCATTTTCATAACTGTCTGGAATGGAATCTTTAACAGGTTTACTTATGAAAGTCTCCTAACATTCCAAAAATCCATGAAATGTCCTTTTTTTTCAATTACGGTATTGTTACGGTCCATGTTGTTCTTAAGCGTGCACTCCCTGCACACCTTAGGAACTAAATTCTGCCTTGTGTTGACTGGTTCATGGGATCAAAAGATGGGAGAAGATCCTACCTCCAAAGCAGCACGGTAGGCTCCTGCAGAATATTCAGGAGATTGCTAGCGCTGTCTCCACGGTTATTGTTTTGTTTGTTTTTTTGGATGTATGATTAACAATACATAGAAAAAACATTGTGCAAAGCCAAAATGTTGGCTTTTTATTTAGATACTTTTTATGCTAACACATCTTACGGGCCAGATACTTAAGGATGCCATCCATAATGTCTTTTTCTCATTTTTGTGCCAGTATTTCAGTATTTAAGTACTTTTTTTTCCATTATTGATTCTTATGTCAGATGTATCTTTTCTATTTATTTGTGATTGACTGAGAAATTTTACAGCTGGGGAGTGGTTACCGATGTTAAATATCCCCTGCAGATTGAAGACTGTGGCATGTGAAAATTAGTCTTGGCTAAAAAATAAAATTACTCTTTTTACCAAGTTGTTGGAGCTACTGAAGTTTAATACACAGTAGTGAAAAGAATTGTGTCGTGTAAAAGTTCTCGTTTGAATGTAATTCATGGCTTGTCTACTCAAAGTAATAGTGTGTTGGATTCTCCTTATGTTCAAGTATTTGTGGATGCATATTCTACACTCCTTCCTAGAGGAGCATCAGCTTCGGGACATCTCTTTAACTTCATAAACCTTTTAATTCAAATCTAAAATAGCATTTCTGATGTGCTATTTTCTGATACTGAAATGTTAGGCTTTTCAATAATGATTTTTTTTATACAAATTGAAAATGTGAGTTTCATTGCTAGAAATAGAAAAATGTTTTAAGTACAATGTATCTTATTTCTTCTTGCCACATCTTACCTACACTATAAAATGCTTTCTGTTTAATGTATTACAAAAAACCTTTATATAGTTACTTTAGTGTGGGAAAATAAGTATACAATGAAATATGCCTTAAGCTTTAACTGGTGAGCGACAGAGTTGAGCAAAGTTAACTGTCACTAACAATGGGCTAAATTCTGGCTCACACTGACTACTACAACACTCCTCAATTCCTACTCTTGTTTTTGGTAGCAATACTCATGGACAAGGATGCTACAGAGTTAATGTAAGCACGCCCAAACTTGTTCTTTGACAGGTCATGTAGAATTGTTTGTCCGTGGGTCTCTGGAAAAAAATCTCCTTTAATATAACTCGGATTTATAAATCTAATGTTTTTAAAAGAAACACATTGCAAAGGCCTTTTAATACCGAATGTTTCTATATACTTTTAAGTGTGAAGGTTACAGAATAGTGTGGCATTCGCTATTGAAACCTTTATGGTGAAAATAGAGTGTAAAAGTAATTGAAAAGTTTATTTAGATAATAATGCTACAATAATAAAAACAAACTTTTAAAATCTCTGTGTGTCTTTATTTAATACAAAAATGTCACCTGTTGCACTGGGATTGAACTCTAATTGTGTAATTGTTGTATTTTTCCTTCTGGACCGGCACAATGCTCAGGGCTGGTTTTAGTAGAGGAAGTGATTATCCTTTGTACATATTAGTCACATTTTCTGTATTACTACTAATGAAATGTTGGGTTTGAGTAGTATTAATTCCCAACCTCTACTAGCAAACATAAAATTTGTACAGGTTAAATTAGAGTGGGACATTGCCTGCACTTTCTGATTTTTTAAAAGCATGGAAATAAGTGATGAAAGAAACCCACATCCTTTCTGTTTTCATGCTGCCCCGCAGATGATAATACAAGACTTTTCCTTGCTTCTCGGCTGATGCCAGCGAGCGTTGCACATCTTGGTTTTGTCTAGGAGGCAGGAGCACTTACAGCAGTGTAGGTAATCAACGTGTCAAAAATATGAAATGCATTCAGCAATGCTGAGATCCGTGTCAGTGAAGCCTTCTTTGCTTCCTTCCTAGTTCCCATAACTTTCTTCTTGGCTCTTAGGATGCTTTTGTCACTTTGGCTTAGAAGTTGTTTAAAAAAAATACCGATAACCATCTGATGTATAATTGTCTTGTACAGAATGAAATGTGAGAAGCTTCTCACTTGTACGTTTGAAGGACAAGCCTGAGAGCTGGAACATACAAAGAAAGTGAACTGAATTTATTTCTAAAAAGCTACCAATAAATATGATTTTACACCTTTAAATCCATTTGAGAATTCCTTCCTCAAACCACTGTGAATAGTTCAAGTAGCCCCTGAGGTTTATAATCTGTATTTGCCAGGTTTTGCATTTTGAAACTTCCGTCAAGAGCGAAGTGTTGCCACAATTCTGCAGCCTGTGTTTGACCGTTCTTGGCAACAAAGAAGCAGTAGAGGAATTGGGTTTGCAAGCCAATGTACAGAGATTCTTTATTGATCTGTCTTTGAACATGAATCTTACATTAATTAATATAAGAATGATGTTTCATTATCAGAGCAGATTATTTGGTAGCTATTTTAAGATTCATTTGCAAAAGGCCAGGACCTTTGTCCATAAATAAGGAGGTTTTTTGACATTTGGGTTGTCTAGGTAGCTTAACTAGTGGTGGTTATCCCTTTCATTATATTATATGAATCATTTTGGATTTGTATGATCAACAAAAAAACCATGCATACAACTGAGTCTACAGGGATGCATAAGTTGTCTTCATGCTCATTCAGTCCTGCAGAGATTTTCTTTCTAGATCGGTGTTCTCACATTCAACCAGTGGTTTTACAACCTGAGAGAAGCTTATGGTAAATATTATCACGGGACTTTTGCGGTAGTACTTAATTATCAAAGTGGGGTTATTTTTTTCAATTCCTGATGTGATTCTTAAAGTAAGTCCAAATTATTTCAGTTTTATGATAATGGATGTACTTGTTCTTGCTGTAAGTAGAAAGTCTAGAAAATAGTCTAGGAGCTTAGTTTCAGTATAAGCAAGCCCTAATTAGAGTTTTAATTAGAGCATGGCGTGCCTCAATAAAGTCAGCCTCTGTAAATCAATTGTATTGATTAACAATGTCTAAAACTGCCTAGCTTGGATCAGTTTCTGAAATACTTCTCCAAAAATGTAATTACATATTGTGTATATATATTCATACACATATACATATATTTGATTCAGGGCAAATAATCTATGGAAAATGACAAAATGAATTATTTTGTTGCAGTGTAAAAATGATTAGCACTATATTGCAAATTACTTATAATTTACTCTCATTAAAATGCAAACAGTCTGCCAATTTGGAGGCTTCGCAGCCAGATAGAGGCATATATTATACATCAAGGAAACCTGGTCCAGAATGTTGATGTGTTCAGTGTCTGAGTAAATAATCGAAGAGATGATGTTTTGCAGCAGCTGACTTTAGAGACAGAAAACAAGGACGATCACAGATTCTTTAATAGGAAATGGGATTGGTTTGGGTGATCACTAGCTGCCCAAAATTGTATTCTAAAAGCCCAACTGAAAATGTAATTGCTGGTGAGCAGTAAAATAATAACAGCTTGGCAAAGAGTAAGGGCTTTTTTTAAAAAAAAAAAATTTTATTTATTACTTTCTGAGAAGAATTCAGCACAACTTTGATGTTAACATGAACCTGGTAAGAGAATTCATTAATGAGTTCAGGGTAAAAATTTTGTATCCATCGATCTAAGTAGTGGCATAAAATTCTTTAATGTGGCTGATAAGGACCCATTTGTATTTTTGAATTGGGACTTCTTGGCAGTAAGTTGTTCAGTTCCTACTTAAACTCTGAAGATAGGAGCCACAGCTGTGATAGTTTCTCAGTATCTCTGGTTTTGCTGGCAGACAGCAATGTTAAGGAGAATTAAGACGGAAAGAGCCAAGATTAGAAAGCATTGGCATGTAATGTAGTTTCCTTAAGATGGCATGTCTTAGTTTCATCATTCTGCTGTATGAGGACCAGTGAAAACTGGCCCTGAAAATTCCAGTATTGTCAGAAAAATCAGAGAGGAGAAAAACAAGTAGGATTGAATGGGTTGTGCTTAGGCCTTATCAAAATTTTTCACGCATTGAGCTATATTAATAAGTGAGAGAATATCACAGCCATTTACTGCACAGAGGCGATGCTGTAGAAAGACGTCTCTGCCTCCTTGTTCAATGAAGGCAGGTGGCGACAGGTACCAAAGCTCAGCATAAGTTTGCAAGCAGAATGAGAAAAACTCACAGGAATTGGGAAGGGAGGAGAACTTGACAATTCTTAAATTGAACTGGAGATGAAAAAATCTTAGAAAGTCCTTTTTCTTAATGTCTGGGGAAAGGAGTGTTTTAAAAGGCTTGTATTAAAATGTAGGAATGGAAGAATGGTGAAATAAAATCAGGGGATGGATGCTGATGATGCA